ATCGACGGACCTGCAGCAGAAATATAGAGGATTTGTGATCCTCAGCATATCTCCTGACATTATCTCCTGTTTCTTTGTTTTTTAATCTCACTTTTTATTTTTGTACTGTGTGCTAACCTGATCCAGTGGGGTGAATCCTGCCACATGCTGCCCCGACACGTGGGTACAATTTCAGACGATCAATGAGTAGCATCACAGCAGCCGGCTGGAAGTCTGTGTCCCCGTCCAAAGCCAGGATGTAGGTGTTGTGCTTCTCTCTCTGAAGCAACAGAAACAGTTTGCTCTGGTTTACATTTATTCCAACAGGGTCTTTTATGTTCTATTGAGAACTCATTTGCATGCATGTTCCTGGACATCAAGTAAATGTTTCTCCTGTCTCACCTGGACCTCTGCTCTCAGCTCCTTCTCATCCTCTCCTGTCTGCCAGCGTGTGAAATATTTGTTCATGAGTTTCCAGCCCAGAAGATAATAAAGGTACATGACCTGGAAACAACAGGTCATATAACTGAGAACATTTTGAAATGTCACCTTCCTAAAAACCCAATTGTAAATGGTTCATAAAAATGGAACTAAATTCTGGGGTCAACGGTCAATTGTAAATGGAACTAAATTCTGGGGTCAACGGTTAGTTTTCCTACCTGAGACCATCTCTTCTTGTGGCGAATGCGTTCTTTGTTCTTGAAGTGAACCACAATGTTGTTCCCGTGAGGCATGGTGATGACGAGACGACCTCCGTACGGTGTCTGTATGATCTTCTGATCAGGGATGTGCCTCTGCTTTCTGAAGGACTTTTCACTGAGGTTAGTGAAGATGCTGATCACAGAGAATGACAGGACACTTAGTAATTTGTACTTCCTAAGATGAGACTTAACCCTAAAAGGCACACTAAGTGTAGACCATCTGTGATCATGGTTCTTACCAATAAACTTCCGTAATGATTTTCACAAGGTTTTTTCCATATTCGTTGAGGTGACCCTCGGCACTCCCCTCAACATGAATAAATGCATCATCAAAGAAGATGTGGGCTTCAAAGGTGAAATCATCAAACTTTGCCTCTGTCTTTGGTCTGTACCTGTCCAGTCTGCAGCAATTGGAGAAACATAGAAAGGAATTGTGAGAAAATACTTTGTGATAAAGTAAAAGTATGCTACTTTACAAAATGTTGTTTCATTTCCATGACAAAAAGCATTTCTTTAACTAGACTTAAATGTTTAAATTTGTTTGATGTATAAAACACTGAAGTGGAAGAAACGGAATTTAAGCAGCATCTGTTTTAGAAAGGGTTCGGTGATATATTATGAAATTGTTCTATAAATGTTTGTTTAACTTACCTGAAAATTGAGATAATGATGGTCATCATCTCATCATAGGTCTCATGCCACATGGTCGCACACAGATACACCATCGCTGTTTGAAATGGTCTAAAACTTGATATGAGGAGATTTACACATCTGAGAAACATTACCCTCTAAAAATGGAAGATTACTCCTACACACTCACCACCCACACTTACTTTTTCTTCTTCTTTTTGGTCAGGACATCAAATCGGATGTTGAGGAGCAGGGACTGTTCGATAAAGGCTAAAAAACCTGCTGAAGATGTCTTGGGTTCTCTGGATACGAAACACTTTGAGGCGCCACAGATAGATGGTGGCCATCACAAGACTGATCCACCAGGACACCGCTGAACCTGACGGCCGAGAAAACAATAGGTGGAACTTCCAACATTGGATATTGAAAAAATAGAAATACATCGTGTTACAAGTATTTTGAAGAGACACTGTAGGATACATTAAAACAATGGATCCTGCACATTCATTAGTTCTGTGTACATGCAAGCAAGCTCTGAATTCCTTTGGTGACCCTATTTTAGAACTTAGAACTTAGAAACCTATAATTAGTTTAACTTTATCATTGTTTTTTTGATTTTGTAATTTGTGTCAGCGTTTAGTTTATTACCTGTAAGCATGCCAATGTCAGATATCTGGGACATGTCAAGGAAACACAGAGTGTGCGTAACATCCAGAACCAGATGTGGAAACACACTGTCATTCAGGCTTTGGTTTCTTCCATCCACAGCTACGGTGCAGTAGGCTGGGAAGTTGATGCTTGTAGCCCCACTCAGACTTCTTCTGTAAATCTGATAGTAAACGATGACAGGGATGACCAGAACAGCCATAACAGCCAGAGAGGCCAGGTACAAGGGCAGAATGAAGCATCGCCGCAGAGCGTGCATCTTACAAGCTGCCAATGCAAACCAGTGGCAGAGTGCTGAGGAGATCAGCTGGACCCCGATGGTGATGACAATAATTCTTGTCTCACGGCTTGGAATGGAGTTCACAATGCCCCAGTCCATTTTGGACAAAGGAACGTATGCTCCGAGAACAGAGGCAGTCACTACAATCCTGAGCAGGCTGGAGAGGATGTGCAGAACGTTCTGGCACTTGGTCATGTCTTTGCAAAGTTTCTTGAGGAAGATGGAGCTGCTGTCTTCGCCGATCACTCTGAAGTATTTCTCATACCAGTTGAAAGATACCAAGAAGGACCCACCAACGGCCAGGCCCACCCACGTGCTCATCCTGGTGTCACCCTTCATGATGTAGAGGATGAGGAACAGGATGTAACCGAGCAAAATGAGGATGAAGGCAGTGATGGATGGCAGGAGGACGCAGTTCCTTTCTTTGGCCGTGCAATGAGTGATCACCTGTAGGAGCGCAGAGAGGACGGCTACAGCATTCAGTATTGTCGCATTGGTCACGATGTCCAAGTGTGGCATGGTGAGAATCGCTGAACCCACGGACACCAGAAACTCAAAGAACAGAACCTGAAGAAGAAGCAGAAGAAGATGTTGAAATTCAGCAGCTTGGTAAAGAAAAGGATGAAGAGTTCTGCCAGGATTTGTTATTGGCATCAGGCACAGATCAGATGAAGTCAGAAGATGCTGATGTTCGGAGATGTTTCCTTTGTCTCACCAGGGCAGCGGTTGCTTTTCTTGGCAGCTTTGATGATTTGTAACATGCCTTCCAGGTGCTTTTGAGAAAGAGAAGCACACTAGAGGTAATGAGAGAGCAGCCGACGCACAGCAGAGCAACGGGTTTCTGCTTAGTCGAGATGGTCTTTGTGCCTTCATTGGACATTGTGAGGAGGAGGAGGAAAGATGTCTGCAACAGAACAAATAAAAAACTAATCAGTTAATTAATATTAATCATGTTACCTGAAGTCAACAGCTGCTAAATTAATAGAATCATCCTGGGTCAAGTCATTACACCAAAACATTAGGGACAATTAACATGAACAAAACTTTATACAATCACATCACAAATTCAAGGATCATTTCTCCCTCATCTAGCTGTTGTCATATTCATGGTTTTTAATGAGATACCAACAATGTATAAAAGTGTCCAACCTTGCTACACACTGCTAGTCCAAACACAATCACACTGGTTATACAGAGAGTTAGGATCTTTAGTATTTTGACAAGTTTCCAGGGTGTTTGTTCATCTTCGATGGCAGGGACCTCTCGAGCGATGTCCCACGGCCTCCTAACAAGACAAAAACATCAAACTCTTAGGTAGAAGGGTAGATACTGTAAAAAAGTAGAAAGGCCAATAAAATGATAACAAATTATAACAAATGCACAGTAAAAATAACAAAATTAAATGTAGTTATGAGATCCCTTTAGAACAAAAGTTAACAGACTTACCATGCCTTTAAATTGTGCAAGTTGTGAATTAAGACAGGGAAAATCTAGTAACCCTAAAACCTCTCTCTCGAGCCAACTAGTCATGCACTCCTCTGAGGTATCATGCTTAACCCTGATCCTGTGTTATGAAGAACACTTTGTGATATGCAGGTGCCTTATGTCCTGCTCCCCCATGTGTGAAACCATAATACATTCATATAATACTGTTATAATACCAATAATAAAAAGTGCCATTATAGAAAAGTAACAGGGATATGTGAAATCCTTTGAAGTATCCCGTTGCCAGTCGGTGTTTTGGTGTAGCTAGGTGCAAAAAGTGGGCAGGGTTTATGGGGGAGCCACATCGGTCAAAGTCGTAAATCAAACCAATTTAGACAGGAAGGGTATCCTTATACTCTCTAATAATAATTCACAATTTTCAAAAATATTGTCATTCTACCTGCCAGTAACTATGTTGCAATATAAATAACATCTTATATGTCTATATAGTGTTTAAAAAAGATTTTAAAAAACTTTTAAAAATTTTTTTCACATTTTCCAATTGAACTTGATTACTTTGAAAAATAAATATTTAATGTTTGCTACAATTGTATTATTGTCACATTACTCCGAATAAATAATTTTTACTCATATCTGTAAATATGTTTCTAATAGTAAACAAAATCTGAATCTAAAAATATTTACTTATAATGTGCATACTTACCTGTGCACATCTTTGTCATCCTCCATGATGAATATGACAAATGAATGTCCTGTGCTTCAGTGTCTGTTTTTAAAGGTAGACACCTGCTCATTGTGACGGCTGAGTCGTAGCCAAACCCATTAGCTACACCCAAAGTGCACTGCTGCAGGGGGGCAGTCAGTTCAGGTGGATGGAAGTCAGAGCCAGCAGATTGTACCAGAACATGAATTAGCCAGCTGAGAGTGCAGTGAACAAAAATTCTAACAAAAGTAACCATTCCTACTTACAGCAGTCAAATATACAGTCCAGTAGGTGTTAAATGAGCTGTGTGCTGTAAGAAAAGCAGGGGAGGAATCCTCAGGTCTGACTCAGAATGGTAGCGGGCCAATTGGTCCTCCACTTTGTTTCAGCCATAAAATCAGTGACTTGTGAGAAATTCCATCTAAAAAGATTTGCCCTTCTCAGCCTCTTTCATTTGAGTAATGAAGCATTTTGAATAATGCTTTAGAGTAATCTGGAAAATCTATGTTAGATGACTAGATGCTGATTGATTTTGGTTCTGATGCCTGCCACGTGCTCCCAAAAAATTCGGTACAGTAAAACCTTTACCATGTGATGCTGCCATTCCTTTTCACATCACTTAATGTAGACGTTTAGGGACTGAGGACACCAAGTG